ATCCAAGCACTGCAAATACAACTGATCGGTACAGTTGAAGCACAACAAGAAATCGAAGCATTTTAAAGTACCTCCCAGCTCTAGCTGAGTTGGTGGCACTCAATGGCACCATCCACTAGTGGTCAACCATGCCAAACATCACTAACTGGACTATTATTATTATTATTATTATTATTATTATTATTATAACATTTCTATGTCGCCCCTTGCCGAAGCCTCGGGGTGGCTTACAACACAATAAAATACATTGAAATACAATACATTGAAATACAATAGAACATAATAAATTACCATTAAATACAAAAATACAAAAAATACACTGAGTTTCAAACATAATAATATAAAATTAAAAATAACAGTATAAAATAAGTAAATAAATAATATAGGAGGAGAAAAGAGAAGGAAGAAGAAGTTGCCCTGGCCAGATCATGTATTTTAACAATTAAAATGATGTTTAAATAAAAAGGTCTTTACCTGGCGCTGAAAAACCAGTAACGACGGTGCCAGGCGGACCTCTTTGGGGAGTGAGTTCCATAGGTTTCTATTATGCCCCTCCCAAAGTGCTTGACAGCCCCCATTTCTGCAGTCCTGGGCAGAGAGTAAAAACAGGAGGACTCATCCACACGCTGGATGGCTACCATATATCTCTGCTGGGCCTTATTCGAACTGGCAAGGTAGAAGTAGCGTGTTTTGCTCTACTGGCCAAATGGTAAACGCTAATAATTGATCGTAACTGACTTCTTTTCAGACCCAAGCAGTGACAGTGAATCCTCTAGCTATGCATGGAGGAAGACCAAAGACAGTATCACCATTTCCCAGTAATAGTTTGATATGGAAATTCTGAGTACTGAATGTCTCATCATCATTCCATTGAAGATGACATATGCTTCATATGCAGCACTTAGAACTACAGAGTTTGGAACCTACTTTCTACAGGGTGCAAGACAGATTACCCTGTCCGGGTCAGCACGATGTTACAAGAGTGCCTACTGCATGACTGTTACCTGGATAGACAGGTAAGCCACACTGTCCTAGAAAGAAGATGATGCTTGGGCACAGTTTAAGTCCACTGTGATTTATTTCCTTTCTGCTGGTCAACTGTACAGTAATCTGATGGCTTGACACAAGCTGGACTCTGCTGAGATACCGTGGGAGTGCAAAGACGCAACAGAAACCAGCTTTTCACCTTGACAGAAGAAAGTATGGAGAGATGCAAAAATTGATTTTAACCAACCACTGGGGTTGGAAAACTTTCAGTTTATGCCCAGCATATAAATCATGGTTTGCAAATCCACTTTGAGCCATAATTTTTCATTTCTGGTTTACAGCCCATACTAATTTAGAATAGCTATTCAGATAAAACTGAGGTACAACATCATCTGAATTAGCCATGCAGCTCAGCTGCTTTTTGAAAATTGGATCTTGGATTCACTGGCACTTCTCTGTAAGTGCTTAAATCATTGCTTATCTTCAACATCTAATTTTTATGCTCATTCCCTGCAAACAGGTACTGTCCAGAACCAAACAAACATGAAGCCAAGCAGACGGAAGCATTCTAAAAAAACTGGCATCTGAATTATGCTAGCTTTCTGCCTAATCAGATTATGTAGCATTTACTTTCCAGGGAAAGCTGCATTTTGAATCACAAATGTTAAAAGCTGCATATTAACCTCAGGCCTTGGATGACACGGCTACCGCTGAGACAGTAGCAAAGGTTACAGTATTAATTCACCAAAAACACACATGCATGCACACACAGAGTACAGCACTCCAAAGATTAATTTTAGAAGCGGAGTCAGATGTACTTGAGTGGTCGCTTCTTTTTCCAAATGAAACCAAAGCCATATGCATGGCATTTCTGCTCAAGCACTCAAGTACCCATTCAAACAAGATCAACAACTGTGAGGCGGCCACCTTTCCCTAGAGGTGCTTGAGATCCTACATGCAGTGACCAAACAGACAGCAAGGAACATGGGAGTCTCACTTATTTCCAGATCTGCAGTTTGGTTATGGTACACAAAGGGAAGAGTTTTGTCTCTCCTTTGTAGAGGATACCTGGGTTTTGCTTTGGAGGGCTAAGCAAGCTAGAAGCAAGCTTTAATGCTGTATTTCTCCAAAATAAGACCCGGTCTTATATTAATTTTTGCTCCAAAAGATGCACTAGGGCTTATTTTCAGGTGATGTCTTATTTTTTCATGCACAATAATCTACATTTATTCATGTACACAAATCTACATTTATTCAAATACAGTCATGTCATCTTCTTCTAGAACATCGTCATGACTCTCCAAACCCCAAATTGTGTTGCAACGAACGTACTAAAAGCGTCCATCTGGTTGACAACCTTAACTGGGGCTTCTTTTGGGGGTAGGGCTTATATTACGAGCATCCTGAAAAATCATGCTAGGGCTTATTTTCCGGTTCAGTCTTATTTTCGGTAAAACAGGGTAGCCTCTTTTGAAGCTTAAAAGTGGAGGATACAGTTTGCAACCAAATAAACTCTTCCCCTGTGCCAGTCAGGGTAAAACAAGACTTCCAAAAAGAGATACAGTCTGCTGAAAAGCAAACTTCTTGCAAGCCAGCGCTCAAGAGAGTTATGCTCGTCTTGACTGGGTCAAATGTTAGAGGATATGTTCTTCTTTGCATGTGGATTTATTCTGACAGGAATTTATGGCAGGCATTGAAAAGGGATTCCCTACCGCTCAGCTACAGGCCTTTTATAAGGCTTTTTGCCAAGTTTGGGATTATTTTATTCCCCCACTGTATTCTGTTCCTCACGGCAAAATTTGAACCCTGCTGCATCTCTTTGCTCATGCAAGTCACACTTAGAAGAGCACTGATTAGGTAGCTCCTTCACATTAGATGCTGTCAGGACCAAAGGAATCGTATTCAGAATATCCCCGTATCATTATTATTTAATGCGCAGTTCATTGATGCTTTCATTGTATTTTATTTTGCTCTCTGGAAGAGCAAAAGAAGGTTGCATGAGTATTTTGCTCCTGGCTAACTGCTATAAAGGGTAGCAAATTTGGTTTCTATTGACTTGACTCAAAATGCCATTTTTTGTCTTAAAGTAAATGGGAATACAAAAAGCCTACCTGATCCAAAGGTAAACTCTTGTTCCACCTAGCTCAGTCCTGTTTGCACTGCCCAGCCAACAGGAATGTAGGCGGGAAACTTTTGCTAGTACTACTCAAATTAGACCTGCTGGGACCGTCTGCAGAAACTCTGCCATTGCTCTAAATTACTTTCTAACCAGATTGAGATAGAAAATACCAATACCTGTGACTGAATCATTTAAGTCAAGCCTCTAGCATTTGTACACAAATTAGCACCAGTCAAAAATCAGTTTAATCAGCAAAACAGTTTACTCAATCTGAGTTTACTTCTCAGTATCCCATAATGAGATGGATCTCACACACAGCAAAAATACACCCCATCTTATGCTGCCGGAGGGTCCCGGGACTTTCGGACATGAATAAAGAAAAGTGGGCTGAAGGTCTTCCAGTCATATACACCTTCCTCAAATAGAGAAACCTCTATCGCTGAATTACTTGCAGGATACCACCTTATTCCAAGCACAGTATAAGCAAAACACTTTCTGTCCATTGCTAGAGGAAGTGTGAACTGGAGAGACATACAACAGCTTCGGTTGGTCGAGTCCTGAAGACAGGAAATCCCGTACAGGGATATGCCAGTATTTTAAATTGATTATAAAATACGTCATTCCTTACAGTAGCCTTCTCCAATGTGGTGCCCTCCTGATCTTTTGGACTACAACTCCCAGCTTCCCTAACTATTGCCCATGAAGGTCGGGGCTGATAGGAGAAGCAGCCCAACATACCCAATATTAGAAGGGGTCCAACCTTAGTTTTTAAGGGCTGCTAAACTGCAAGGTACAGCATGATGGAAAGACAAGCATCTGCTATCCATGATGGATTCAGTTGATAAAACATGCGGACTTTCAGTTTGGGGCAACCTTTCAACCCAGACTATAACTCCCTTTTTTGTGAACAATTCTCTAAAACCCAATTTCCATTCATTACACTATAGTTTGAGCAAAAACAGTGCAAATAAGACAGTCACATCGGAGATCAATACTGAGGTGGGGACAAAAACAAACCAAAGAGTTCTGGGATTATAAACTTTGCTGGTTTTAGATTTCCTGATGTTCTTAAACTATATTTCCATTTTGTTATATAAGCAGATACATAGCTCCCCTTTTGAAAATCAGTATTAGACAATCACTTAATACTTATTTTTGAAAATCAGTATCAAACTACCACAACAGATATTGCAAACCCTCTGCCGCTTCACACTATCTATAAAGCGATATTCCCAAGTCTGAATCTTAAGCGCTTGGATGGTCATGCCACGTTTGAGCAGGTCTGTCTTTGCTGAAATCTGCATGTAGAATTCCAGACATAACCGTTATCTCAGTAGATTTTTTAGCACTTCTTAAATCGGCACTGGCTGAAACCAGTCTTAGAGCAAATCAGCCTTATGCAAGCTTCGGGCACACCAGCAACCCATCCCCACTTAATCTTCTGAACTGCAACAGCCCCTGTTAGTCTATTCCTGGAACTCTTAAGAAACAAGACAGTTGTGTTAAAATCTTCTAGACTGCATGCTAGGAACAAAGCTGGCAGAGCGACTTTAATGTACATTCTCCTTACAGCCCAAACCACTGCAAGTCTAGAGGAGTACAAAACTGAATCAGGAGGAGACAGTACGGAATTTTGCCATTCCAATCTAGGCTCCATCTTAAAATCGGAAGCATCTCTTCAAGCAATTCCAAAGTGCCTGAAGACTTCCAATCCAATCAGCTCTGGAAACAAGCAAATTTCACACCTCCTCGCAGACATTTCTGAACCTTTTGCCTCGCCTAATACTAGATTCACACCTTTTCAGTAGTTTTACTCCCCTACAGAGCCATCATAATTAGCTCCCACTGGCACCAAAGCCCCTTCCGAGAAACATCATAATTGCTCATTACTCACTGAGCGGCTTAAGAATGCTACTGCTCGTCTCGTCGGCATTTTCGATGTCAGATTTGTCCGAGTTTTCAGAAATTTTCTCCCTTTCTCTCTTTTCCTTGGGCCTTCTTCTGTGACGTCTCCTTCTCCGGTAACTCTTAGGCACATGAACCCCAATGTAGACTGTATGATGACCTAGGGAACAAAAAAATATTGCAGGGTTTTAAGCAACTGGCAGATTACATCAAGTGGTGTTAACAGATCTCTGCTGGGCAACTGATGCAAAGCAGTATAGATTTCTGATCATTCTTGGGGAACCGGCAGATGTCAACACATCTGGAACTAGAGAACTCCCAGCATGGTGTTGCAATTCAAAATGGCAACATAAAGTCTTCCCACTCCCTGCATAACCTTTAGGCAGAATTGCCTTTATGTTTAATTTCCTCTCCCTACAAAGGAATGACATGGAATGTGCAGGCAGTGGGGGAACGAAGCAACCTGTGATGACAGTGATAAACTAAAACAATACAGAAAAAGGAGAGAGAAGTTAAAACAAGGCTTCCATTCTAGCAGCAGCATCCTCTCCAGCACAATTTATTTACTTACTTATATACATACATACATACATACATACATACATACATAGATATATTTATAGGCCGCCTATCATTGCTGAGTGGAACAATATCCAGTTCCACTCTGTTTACAAAACAAAAATATATTTAATTAGAGTCTGGTGCAGAAAAGACAACCAGACCTTGAAAAAGACCCCTCTGCTTTCTTGTCATTGCCAACTAGAATACTTTAGAGCTTGTCAGTCTTCATTTGAGAGCCCTTTGCCATGAGCCTTCGCACCCAGAAAACACAACACAACAGCCGAAAGTGCCTGTTTAGGGGCAGTCCCCACCTGGGATGAGCTGGACACCTGCATAAGAATGCAGCTCAGTCGGAGGTCTTCTGATGCCCTCCACCATGCGCAAAACTCCTGCACATGCTCAGTGGAACAAGATGCCATAGGCACATGCTTTCTGTAGCCATTATGCATTCCAGTGACTGAGCAAATGAATTATCTGCCATTTTTCGCCTTCAGCTCTTTCTAAAACCATGGCGGCTAGAATCTTTGTCCCTCAAGAAATAACACAGAACTCACTGGGAATTGAAAGAACAGAATGCAGAAGAGTGCCAGTTTTAAAACTAAATATACCTTCCGAACAATGCAGGTTAAACAGATGGGGGGAACCAGGGATAGTGCTTTGAATGTCCCATGCCAAAACTTGTTAAGAAATTAGTCAGATTTTGTTTCATAATCTAATAGTCTATCATGCTTTTTTAGAAGTGATTCTGCTCCTCTTAATTTCACACAGAGCACAAACATGGAACACCTTTGATGTGGTCAAATAAACTTCACTTTACCCACTCAGTTCTCAAGGATTTAGGGTGGAGAACAGCAGATAAATATGCATCTATCGGTACCATCAGAAATATGTTTATTTGCAGGTGTGGGTCCTAGAAATTAAGAACATGTTTATTATCTTTCTGTGCCATCAGTTGCTTTCCATAAAACTAAAATTTGCCCTTGTACTATGCTCAACAAATATTTATCAGACTAGAAAAGAAGAGCAATTGTTTATAACTGCGATAGGAGGACCACAGAAAAGATGGTGCTCCACAAATGAGAGTATTGTTTCAGGATGTCTCATCTAGAGCGGTACGTCCTGCTTCCCTCTTGACTTCCTCCCTTTCAGGAAGAGCTGGCAGAACTTAGGAGGAAGGGAACACTCCGATCTCGGAGCATTCCCAACAGCAGAGGATTGATATGAAAACCAAGTAAAGCACATTTCATATGCCAGTAAGACTATTTAACCACCAACAGAAAGAACAGGATTGCACAAGGCAGTGTGGAATAAGTCTTTACTACCCTCTTCAGAGTCTGGAAAGCCAGTATGGCGCAGTGGTTCAGAGTCCAAGACTGGGACTCAGGCAACTGAAGTTCTAGTCTTGCTCGCCATGGACCCAACTTTGGGCCAGTCCCAGACTCTCAGCCCAACCTGAGAGCAGGAAGAAGAGAATGGTGTAAACTGCTTTGAGTTCAAAGCAGGATATAAATCTAATAATAAATAAGTTTATAAATAAGGCTTTGGGTGTTCCAGGAGAGAAATCCCTTGTCTTTACTTGCCTAAGGGCCACCTACTGAGTAATGCCTTGAGAAATGTGGCCTGGGGGGCTGCCATGTGTGACGGGGCCTTTTCAGCGTTGGCATCCAGCTGTGGAACTCCTTTGTAATGGAGGGCAGCCACTTCTAGCACTACTGTCATTTAGGCACCAGTTGAAGACATTTTTATTAATGCCAGCACTGGGGGCTCTTTTTGTTCCTGTGGTATTTGTGCTGATGGTTTTATTGCATCTTATTATGTATCCATGATTTTTAGAATTCTGCTGATAATGCGGTTTAGGCTCCATTCTTTTCATGTAAGCTGTCAGTCCTCCTCGGCTCCTTGTGAGGAAGGGCAGGATAGAAATCAACTTAACAACAACATCATCTATTTGGGAAACCACGCAACCAAACCGTCTGGTCCTCACCACACCCAGCAAGACCTCCTGAAGGTGAATGAACTCATCTGCGTATGGCCACGAGAAGAGCTACTTCTGGTCTTGTTCTCATGGGAAAGCTCAGTGCGGCTAGCACATGTGAGAAGGGCTCAAACATAAAGGCATATTGAGAAACCAAGTCAAGAGTTTCCTGCTGAGGCAGCCTTAGGGAGGAAAGTCCAAGAGTTTATCTTGACATTGTGAACAGGTGCCAGCTGCTTCCTCATAGCATGTCTCCAGTGGAGTGGGAGAGGAAGGAGGAAGCAGAAACCCTTCTCTTAGTCAAGCCTGAAGCACGAAAAGCAACACTGTCATTTCCCTGCCCGGCCCCCCTTTGCAGAATGAGGGGAGAACCAGAAAATAAGGCAGATGGTTTCTGTCTGTGCAGAACAACTTTCATTTTTATTACCAAAATCTTTACTGTGCACATGTGATCAAAAGATTAAAGTTCTGTTGGCAGCATATTAAAGTATTAGGCCTACTGGCTTGCCGGGATGTGTCTCTATGATCAAGCTGACCAAAGCATTGCAGCAGGGCAACAGAAGTGGAGGCGGCTGCCACAGCCAGTTGCCCCCAGTGTCCCTTGCAGATTTAATCCAGGTTACCTTGCTTCACGAGCAGGCATGGCTACTGTCCTGAGAGCTCACCTTTTGCGCATGAGCGCAGGTTGCCTCGAAATGTGCCATTTGCTATTGATTTTTAGTGGCCATTGATCTACACGTGACTTTTCAAAGCAGCTTAAAGGGGAGTGGAGAAAGAAGTATCTGCTCCAAACAGCTTGCAGTCAAAATGTGAACCATAATGCTGAAAAGAGAAAGGACTGAATCAGGGAAAGAAAGAAAGAAAGAAAGAAAGAAAGAAAGAAAGAAAGGAAGGAAGGAAGGAAGGAAGGAAGGAAGGAAGGAAGGAAGGAAGGAAGGAAGGAAGGAAGGAAGGAAGGAAGGAAGGACGGACGGACGGACGAGGGAGGGAGGGAGGGAGGGAGGGAGGGAGGGAGGATGGAAGGAAGAGGGAGGGAGACAGACAGACAGACAGACAGACAGACAGACAGACAGACATCAGGCAGAAAGGTTGCAGGAGATGGGTTTGTGCACATGGAGTTACATGGAGGGTTAAGGCTTCTCTATATGAAGCATGTGACCTGGAGCTTTATGGAGGCTGTTTCCTTTGTTTTCTTTGTGGGCGGATTAAAGCATCCTTGACACAAGAGGTTCATTTCCTGGATGGTTTTCATTTCTGACTTTCCGTATGTTCCTACAAGTTTCATTTAAAAAGGAGAAGTGGCACTGGGGTATAGGACAGAATTACAAAAATACGCTAGGCGTCCACAGTGAATACTGGAGAATACTGAACTTTTCTAGCTCTAAAAAAGCCACAAAAATGGTTGGATACTTGAGAGAGGGCTGGGAGGATACAGGCCCCATCAAAACTTCCATGAGCAAGGAAAGACCACATGAGCACAACAGATGCCTCTTGCAGAGAAATCCACTGTTTGGCAGGGGGTGCGGGCTAAGCTTAGCCAAAGCTTTCAAAGGAAAGGCAGGTATCGAGGCGGGTCTGTAAGGGAAAAGAACAGCAGATGGACACTGGAAGCATAAAGATTCCTTTCAAGTGTTGTTATTCCTCCAGTTGGATAGACCTCTGGAGGAAAGGATCCTCTTCTCCACCACCCCACAGGCCCCAAATCCTCTCAGGGCACTGAAGGTCCCTCCAGAGCAACTTCAGGAACACAGATGGGCTGGAAAGGTCCCACTGCACAGATGGACTTCCGCTCCATCGAGGCAGGATCCAAGTCAAAGGTAGCAGGATAAAACGGCTCTGCCAGAAGCAGTCCGGAGAAAATGGTACAACAGCATTAAAAAAGGAAACTCAGGGATTCCATCGCCCTTCCTGGGGGAGCAGCGATCAGGGAGGGGGCACTACGCACCCCACCCTGGCATCACCATGCTCGCTACAACATCTGAAAACCTCAAAGGGGGTTAATCAATATCCTGAGAGCTGGAGAGATCCAAGGGCAGCAGGTGACTGCCTAGGAACTGGGGCAGAAAGAATGGCTGGCGACAGGCACAGGGATTGGATTATGTCAACCCCAAACCACAGTCAGAAACATCACAGCAGAACCGGACGAACTGCAAGAAGCTGCCAGGGTGGGACTGCAGAGCCCTCAAGCGAAAAAAGATGAGGTGAGAACTGCCCAAATGACATTTAATACGATTTGCTTGTTGATAGAGGTGGCAATATCCAGTAAGCTCTTATTGACAAGATGCTCCAGATCCTTATATCAGCTTGAGCAGCAGGGCGGGGTGAAAGAAGGAGTCGAGCAGATATATAGGGTAAATTACAGCTGAAATTACACCTGCAGCTATTCAAATAGGGGGTGGCTTGTTTCAGCTTTGTCTCAGCAGCTAAGAGCAGAATTAGATGCAGTGGTGTTTCCTTTTCCAAGCTCTGTGAGAAGAACGGAGCTGCCCGAAAGAGCTCACACTGCAAATGTTAGTACTGAAGGTGAAAAGCCAGTGGGCCACAGTGGTTAAGAGCGTTGGTCTGGGTCTCAGGCGATCTGGGTTCTAGTCCCCGCTTGGCCACGGAGCCAACTGGGTGACTTT